TTCGCGACCGCCCGACGCGCGGAACGCGTGGTGCCGCGCTGCTTCGGACCAGTCACTGAGCGGCAGCGCGACCGGGGCCCGGTTGCGGAGGGGTCCACACCCGCGCCAAATAACCTACGGAACGTAGCGGCAGCCGAATGCAAATCTAACCTATGCCCGCGGCTGGAACGCGCAATCCGTGGGAGGCAGCGATCGCTGGCGCAGAAATCACGAACGAGCCCCGACATGGGCCCGGTGCTCTGCCGAGCGGGTGGATTCCCGAACGGCGGCCAAGAGAAAGGATGCCGCTGGGGGCCCGGGCGACGGAGTCGCAGGCAGGGGCCAGTGGACCTTCGCCCTGGAGAAGCATGGCGTTCCTGAGTATGGAAGACCCCGAGACAGCCAGAGGCCAATCCCGAATGCACTTCCGAGACCGAGGTGCTGCATCGTAGAGAGACCCGTCCAGAAAGAGACCGGCCCTTGTTCCTCTCCTGGATCAGCGCGTGCTGCGAGGTCGAAACGTCCTGGAAGTCGCCTGGCACGTTGGGGTGCGCCGCTAGATCCGAGCACTGCCAATCGATTGGTTCAGGAGGCTCGGGGAAGAAGTTAGCCGGGCCCCCCCAGGTAGATCTGAGATCCTTGACCAGGGCGGCGCGGGCCGAGCCGCTGTGAGCGTTGGCGTCGACGCCGATCGGCACGGGCGCGTCGTCCGAGACTTGGGCGAGGTGGGCGCGATGCCCGCCCAGACTTTTGCAAAAGGAGAAAAAACCAATCCCGTGACGGGCGCTAGTGGGCAGAACCAACAACGGCACGACACAAGTCTCTGCGCTGAACAAAATTTGCCACAACGAGAGATCCAGGCGTCTCGCCGAGCACGTTCTATAGAGAGCAGGAAATCCACCCCAATAATAAGCACCCCGACAAGCGACGGCGTTTAGTAAACGCACCCATGGAAGGTATCGAACAAGGCAGGGCTGCTTAGTAAACGCCCAAGGCTGCTTAGTAAACGCGAATTGTTTTTTGTTGTTGTTCCCCGCCCTCGATTCCAGCACCGATCTCGACGGATGATGGCAGCGTTCCGTTTGTCCGCGCAACTTCTGGGGCCGCCGATCGCGGCGGCCATCGACGCGTTCTGGCGTGGAGCGCAATTGGCGGCCAAGCGCTCTTGGAGGGCGTGCGCCGCGGGGACCCCCGTTCGGAATCTCTGAGGATCCTTTGAAAAAAGAGCTCTTCAGCGAGACCAATCTCACATTCCGGCTCACGAAGCATGAATGGGCAAGGAGATCTCGCTGTCGCCATCTCCGCCTCTGCGCCTCGAAAAATTCCAGACGCGGTGTCGCCTTGGACTGGATATCCTGCGCGCGGCGGTCGAGCTCGAGATCGATGCTGATATCGGCGAGCAAGGCCGTCGCTCCCGTCTGGCAGATTTTGACATGGCCTCCGTGGCGGCCGTTGCCAGGCAGCGCGCCGGGGATAAATGTCACCTCGCCCATGTCGCTCTTGATGCCGAAGACGGCGTCGAAGATGCCCGGCTGTTGGTCGGGGTGGGAATGGCCAACTGCTACTTCAGAGTCGCACGGCAACGGCATCGTGCCTGCTGACCCCGATCTCCAAGGCCGACTTGGACGGCATTGAGGCGCAAGGCCTGGTGCGATGGATCGCGGTACTGGCCGCCGTTGATCCGCTGGCCCTTCATTGCCTTCAGCATGGCCCACATCTGGTCTGAATATACGCAGTAGCTTCCAATGCCCCGGTATTATCGTAAGAGATGGCCCTTGTCCTCGGTCCCTGCTTCATCTGCTTAACCAAACCTGCCGAAAGAACACTTCCAGCCTCCCTCGTTCGCTACCCTGCGGCGGCTCATTAGAATGAGCGCTGCCGTCGAAGCACTCGACAGAGCCGCAGGCGATGCCGTCGACAAAGAGGTGTGAGCTCACGAGGCAAGCGACGCTCCTCCGCCGCGAAATGACCCCATATCCGTGGATCGACCGTCAAAACCTGCTGCTCCAGGCCGAATTCCTCCAGTTTGGCACTCGATTGCAGCGTCAATTTCACGGTGTCCACATCCTCCGTCAATACCTCAATCTGAACACCCTGCTGAAAGGTCGCGTCCCTGAACGTCCCGCCCATGGCCTTCGGGAGGCGTGCCCAGGCATCGTCTAAGCGATGCTCCTCGGAGACGCAAGCGACAGAGGACGCCTGAACATTCCGCGGCTGAGGGACTGCCACCTTGCGGCGCTGTCTTCTCTCGGTGTTGGATAAAACCTACGTGGCTCTCCCCCGCGGTTCCTCAAACCCGTCAGACAGATCTATCAAGTCCTCGGACTTCGCGCCACCCACGGAAATCCGCGCAGCAGAAGCGAACGCGAAACCAGAGAGCATGGCGGCACAAACGAACGAGCGGCGAGAGACACACGGTGCTGCTTTGGTCGATTGCGGCCACCCTGGAACCTGCGCACTCGCGAGTTCCTCGTGCCAAGATGGCAACAAGGCAGGGGGGATGGGGAGGAAGGGCCACGATGGGGACGAGCGGGGGGACGAAAGGGAGGGCAAAGACGGGGGAGGGCACTTGGGGCGCCGCGCTCAGCACAAGGCAGTGCACGAAGGTAGCGGAAGGGCGGGACGGAGGAGGGGTCGGATCACAACGCCCCCCTGTTCCTCGTCCCTCCTCCCATTTGCCCCCTCGACTCCTCTTGTGCCTGGTCTCGTTCGCCCCCCACCCCACCCCACATCTCGTCCCCCCTGCCTTCTCCCCCCATGACTGCTTAGGCATCTCCTCCTCCCCCTGGCCTTCCACCCGTCGCCGCCTTCCCCGCTCCCCTGATTCCACTTCTGCCACCACTCCTTTTCCCCCCTGGCTCGCCCTCTTCCTACATCCCGTCCCCATCCTTCCCCCTCCTCCCCTGAATCCCAGTCGCACTCCTTCTCCTCCCGCTCCTCCTCCTCCTCCTCTTCCTCCTTCTATTCCTCCTCCTCCTCCTCCTCCTCCTCCTGCTCCTCCTCCTCCTCTCCTACCCGCCCTCCTCCTCCTCCTCCTCCTCCTCCTCCCTCTCTTACTCCCACGAAAATGCTTAGCGTGCCCGCCTGTTGATTTCGGTTTGACCCTTCCAGGGAATTGTCAATGCCGTCGGCGAATCCCATCAGCCCCCTGAAACCACCAAAAAGCACCGCAACATATATTAATGTCCAATTTACCTTTCTCCACGGTGGCCGAGATGGCCTCCAATCCGGCCTCGAATACGGCACCAAGATACCTGCCAGGCGGCCAAGATTCCCCCAAGAAGGCCTCAGGAGAACCGAAGAAAGATGCAAGAAGCCCAAACGGCCCCCGATACGGCCCAAGAGGGCTCCATGATGCCTCCAGGACGGAAGGTCACGACCCAATAGGCGGGGGCCAAGACGACCCCAAGACGGCCCACAAGACGGCCCCAAGAGTCAGAAGTCCCCAGGGAGACATCCAGATGCCCCCAGGAGGCCCCGGGAGGGCCCAAATGAGGTGTCCTCCTCCTTCTCCTCCTCCTCCTCTTCCTCCTCCCTCTCTTCAGTATGTTCCTTCCCCTCCTCCTCCTCCTCTTCCTCCTCCTCCTCCTCCTCCTCCACCTCCCCCTCCTGTTCCTCACACTTCAGGTGTTGATGTCCAAAAAGATTTGTGGGGGCACGTAGACCAATATCTTGCTTTGGCCAAACGTTGCGCCGCGCAGACGATTGCAGAGGGCAGGGTGGCGGCGACAGTTCGCCGTAGGCGACTTTGATACCTACGACACGAAGCCAAACAACGCCCCAACAATTCAATCATCGACCTGATCCTCCCCCGATGACCCCCCTCACCATGCCCCTCCCTCTCTCGAGGAAATGATGATCGTGATACTGACGATGGGATGCCAAAATGCGCACATACGAAGGAAAAAATGAGGAGGATCAAAAAGGGAATACAGGACCAGGAACAAAAGAGGGAGGATGAGGGGGGAGGGGTACGAAAACGAACAGCAGCAGCGGGAACTGGAGTGGAAGGAGCGGGAGCAGCAGGAGAACCAGGGGAAGGCGGAGGGGGAGACCAAAGAGAAGGAAACACTCGGATCCAGAAAAGTTGCCCGCGCTGGGGCGAGGGCGCCGAACGATTGGATCAGAGCGCCTACCCTAACAAGTAACAAGAGGCTACCGCTGCAATTGGAGCACGACTTCAAGACATCGAAAACGTTCTGACTGAACACATTTCGAAACCAACAGACAAATGACATACTGCTTCTGTGCAAGAGCACAACGCGCAACGGGTCGGGCCACTCCCTAGCCATCTTCGGAAGAGAAGAGGGAGTCGCAATCATGTTGCTTCCTCGTCGGGAAAGAGGGGGGAGTAGTACACATTTTGAGTATTAGTCGCATGAAAAGGGGAGTCAGAGGGAGGATGGGGAAAGGTGAACGGGGGGAGGGGGGAAGGGGGAGGGAGGGGGAAACATACGAGGAACCTCCTGGAGGCCTCGCGCGGCAACTTGATACCCCGTTTATGTCGGACCCACGTCGGACCAAATTACGTCGGAGCATCGCCGCGAGAACGTCGACCTGCGTCGGAGCATCTTACGAAGCGGACGTGTAGACCAGGTGGAACAACTACTGCGCGCCGCGCGAGGCCTCCAGGACTTCCCTCGCAGTGGAATGAGGAAGGAGAGGGACGAGGAGGGAGGGGAGCCGGACGGAGGAGGAGGGGGATGAAGATGGATGGGGGGTCAGAGGGAGCCGGGCGAGGGCGGGGGGGGAAGGTTGCAGGCTCTCCGGCGGCCCTATGGGACGATGCACGCACCCCCGGAACGCTCCTGGCGAAGCGCCGCCGCTGGCATGCATCCCGAGGCCGGAAAACTGACGAGGACGTTGCCCCGAGGGGGGTAGTCGGAGGGAGCAGGGAGGCGGGGAGGGAGGAGGGGGGAGGAGGGAGGGGAGAGGAGGGGGGAGGAAGGAGGAGGAGGGAGCGAGGAGGGAGGGTGGGTGGGGGGGCGGGCAGGAGCGAGGAGGAGGGGGGGGAGGGGGGCGGGCAGGAGTGAGGAGGGGGGGAGGAGGGAACGGGGGGGGGGGAGGCTGCCGGAGGGATGGAAAAAACGACGCCACCCCGCCGCGGGCGCGGCCGGGTGTCGTGCCCTCCCGACCGCCGCGCGGGGCTCCGCGGGTCGTCACCGCGAGGCGCCGGGGCCGTGCCAGGTGCCTGGCGCGCCGCCCCCGGCCCGTGCGGTGGCCACGCCGCGTGGAGGATCTGCGCCTCCTCCTCCTCCTCCTCCTCCGCCTCCTCCTCCTCCTGCTCCTCCTCCTCCTCCTGCTCCCTCCTGCTCCTCCTGCTCCTCCCTCTCCGCTCCTCCTCCCGCTCCTCCTGCTCCCTCTGCTCTCCCGCTCCTCCTGCTCCTCCTGCTCCCTCCTTCCTGCTCCTGCTCCTGCTCCTCCTCCTCCTCCTCCTCCTCCTCCTCCTCCTCTCCGCCTCTTTCCTCCTCCTCCTCCTCCTCCTCCTCCTCCTCCTCCTCCTCCTCCTCCTCGTTCGCGCTCGTCCCTGTCGCCCCTCCGCATCGAGCCGCATCGCCAATGCACTTGCAAGTCAGGGGTTTCTGCACGTTCTCGTCGGCTCCTGGGGATTGTCCTGCCTCGGGATGCGTTCCAGCAACTGCGCCTCGCCGAGAGCCCTCCCAAGATGCCGGGATCGTCAAACACGACCGCCAGAGACTCGAGTTACGGCCCGGCAGCAAGCTATTCGGAGGGGGGCCGCTGTGGTGAATCGGTGGGGATTCTGGGTCACCGCACGGTTAGCTCCCATTGGCCCTGCCGCGAGTCTCCCCGCCCGCTCCCGGCCGCCCGCGGGGGGCCAGAGCGGCAGAGAGCAAAGGGCAGGAGGCGCGGCGGCACCCAGGCAGGAAGGAGCAAAAAACGGTAGTGGGAGGCCGGGGCAAGCGGCCGCACTCTCGACCCTCGACTGCGACGGACACGCTGGAGGGCGCAGGCGCGCGCAGAGGGAAGCGAGGAGGGGGAGGTGAGAGGCTAACTACGCTTCGCCCTCGCGAGTTCGCGTTTTGGGGCTCAGGTCGTTCTCCGAGGACGTCTCGGGCGACCGGGGCCTCCGAGGTCCCCAGACCGTGCGGCGATAGAGATGTCCCTCCGAGGACCGAGGTCACACCACAGGGTTCTGGGGCCGCCGAGACGAGGGCACGGGGACGAAATCGGACGGGGGTAAAACGGACCCTTGCGTCCTGAAAGGGCGATGAGGCGGGGGGCGAAGAGCCGTGCTCCATGTGTGCCCCTTTGGGGCCCGCGAGGGGCCCTCCAGGGTGCGCGAAAGGTGCACCTTCCTTACCCCCCCCCCGCCCTTATCGCTCCTCCTGCTCCTCCTGCTCCTCCTCCTCCTCCTCCTCCTCCTTCTTCTCCTCCTCCTCCTCCTCTTCCTCCTCCTCCGCCTCCACCTCCGCCCCCCCCCCCGCCATGGCGCAACGACCGGGGATCTCTGAGCTGCTGCGCTTCACGAGGATGCATCGGGCGCCGCGGCCGCTCCACGGCGCGCCAGCAAGCTCCGATAGCGTTTCGGAAGGCTCTGGAACAACTTATGCTGACCCTGAGCCCGACAGACCCCTCCTCGGCGGTGGACAATCCTCCCTTCAATAAACCTCCCCTTAGTGAAAACGGCCTGGGACCGAACGCGACGGACATAGACCCGCAAAAATGACGGCCGCGACGCCCTCTCGCGAACCGAAAACGGCCAATTCCTTAATCGACGTGTCAGGGTAGGAGGTCTATCCACCTCCGACCTCGACGGCGGGCCAGGAGTCAGGAGGGGGGGGACGACGACCAAAACCAGGACGAGGGCGGCGTCGGGCCGTGGGCCAGAACACGGGCGGACGACGGACCCCTGGACCTTAGAGATGATCGGTGTATCCTCGCCCGATGAGATCTTCGCCCTGGCGGTCCTGGATGGGTGTGGGCTCTTCCCCCCCTCCATTGGTCGCACCCCCCTCTGCCACATCGCCCGCGGTCGGGTCATAACTCGGATCAGGTCGGGCATGTCCTCTTACAGGCGGCTTCGGCACGAGAAATGACAAATTATCAAACATTAGAAAACGATAATGAAAACTCGTCCCCAGACTATATTCTACTCTCTTTGTTGGAGATTGCTCCCGTGGAAGGATACATGCCCGACTTGGAACTCGGCCGCCGATTCCTCCTGTAGAGGGATACGTGCCCGACTCAGAACTCGGCCTCCGTTTCCTCCCGCAGAGGGGATACGTGCACGATTCGGAACTCGGTCTCCGATTCCTCCCGTAGGAGGGGATACGTGCCCGACTCGCAACTCGGCCGCCGACTCCTCCCGCAGAGGGGATACGTGCCCGACTCGGAACTCGGCCGCCGACTCCTCCCGCAGAGGGGATACGTGCCCGACTCGGAACTCGGCAGCCGACTCCTCCTGCGGACTCTGCAGAACGCACCAACCTATTGTTCTGACGACTTAAGAGTTGCTGTGAGACCCAGCGTTCTGTATGTTAACCTTAATACTGGTAGTATACCCCGCTTGCTGTTCAGTGCTGGGAGGAGGACTGTCTGAAACCAGTCTGAAACCGTAACAGAGGAAACCAGGAACCACTCTGAAATATCTGGGGGCTAGCTCAGGCTGCAAGTCAGTGTCTTACTCCTGCAGAGGGATGCGCGCCCGACTCGGCACTCGGCCTCCGGCGGCCGCTCGGGCGGCCTGCCCCCCCCCCCCTGGACGCTGCCGGCGAGGGCCGCGGCCGCCGGAGGACGGAGCCCCCCCCCCCCTGACCGAGAGGACTCGTCCTCGGCTGGCGCCTCGGTTTGGGTGTCTCTCCTCGGCTTGGGTTTCTCCTCGGTGTGTCTCCGGTCTCCGCGGTGAAAGAAGGGAGTTCCGCACCCGAGGCAGGCCTGCGCTGGAGCGAAGCGCTGAGTCGGACCGGATCGGAAACGGGTCGCAGCGCCAGCGGATCGTCCCGAATCGAATCGAGGTCGGATCCCTGCGCGTCGCTCTGGCTGGCCCTGGTTCGGTGGATCGAGCCGATTGGAGTCGAATCGAAGTGGAATCGCGGCCTGGCCGGCGAATCGAGTCGCATCGAATCGGATCGTAGGCGGCCCTGCCTGGTAGGTCTTCGCCAGAGCGATGAAGGGCTATCCAGTCCGAACTGGATTACAGTCAACCCGTTTGATAAAAGGATGCGCGGGAGCAGCAAATCCACCCCGATGATAACCATCCCGACACGCGAAGCCGTTTAGTAAACGCACCAAAGGATGAATCAAAGAAGGCAAGGCTGTTTGGTAAACGCCCAAGTCCGTGTAGTGAACGCCACTTGTTTGGTCCGGGTGGTTTTCCTCCCTTGAGTAAAGATGCAAGAGCCGTTGAGGGCCACGTTCACGATTTTCTAGCGAGGTTAGCCAGCGAACGTCGCTGAGGATGGGCCGAAGGGGCAAAAATGCAAGGGCATCCTTGGAAAATTGCTCATCCTTACCATGCGGGTTGACTGTAAGGACTACTCAGCCCGATTGAGAGGCCACTGAACCGGATCAAACTGGATCAAGCACTGGATCAAGCGGGATTAAGCCGGATTGGGCAGAAGCCAGACTAAGCGGGAGGCCGACCAAGGCCAGATTTCGACCAGGGGTATACCAGCGCTGATTCTGAACTCAACCTCCCAGGAACTGCAGCTGAACATCGGCGGCGCGCCAAAAAGGAAGGGGGGGGCGCGAGATGGGGCGGGCCTTCTCAGAAAGCAACCGGGTATCTCAAAGAGACCGCCCAGGCCTCCCGAGAAGCCCCGGTGGCCTCGGAGGCCCAGAGAGCTTCTCAGAAGGCCTTCCGAGCCTTCTAAGCCTTCTGGGAAGGCACGCCCCCTCTGCATTCTCCGCTGGGCGCGCCGCCGGACAGAGGGGGGGGGCGGCCCCGATGTTGCAGGGTCCGCCCGTTGGTCAGACCCGATCAGGGCATCCTCCACCGAGAATTTCAGCATCGAGGACCAATGAATTTTGCACGGCGGTTCCTAGTTTTCCTCCCTCGGGGTTCGGGCTTCGAGGGTGGATGTTTTGGGCCCTGAGCCTCCTGGGGCGGCCCCGTGGCTGCGGCTAGATTCTTGCTGCCAGAGCGCGCCCCAGCACAGCAGAGCGCGCCCCAGCACAGGTCCCAACGAATAGGCGGTTCGAAAAAATCTGGACGAATGGACCGTCGCCGCGTTCGGGCTCCAAGGGGTGGCTGGTATCGGGCTCTGGAACCATCATAGAAAAAAAAACAAAACCTGTCGGATCATCTGGACCTCGGAAAACTGTAGATCCCTCTCGGGCCCGCACACTCAAACATGAAGGGCCCTCGCCCTTTTTCCTCCCCCTTTATCCCCCCTCTGCATACAGTCAACCCGTACAATGAGGACGCACGATCAGGACGCAAAGGCCTTGCAAGGCCATGTCGACTCTTTGCGAGCGGGGCGCGGCCAGCAAAAGCGGCCAAGGATGGGTCGAAGGGAAGGATGCAAGGGCAACCTTGGGAAATGGCTAATCCTTACTATGCGGGTTGACTGTATCCTTCTTCCTCCGCCCTCCGTCCTCCTCGTCCCTCTCACTATTCCTCCTCGTTTCGCCGTCCCTCCCTCCCCTTCCTCCGTCTCCTTCTTCCTACTCCTCCCCGACCATCCGCCGTCCACAGTTCTCGTCCTCGTGCCAGCGGGAATGTGTGCTCTTCAGGGCGTCCCGCGCGCGCAGCAGCGCTTGTCGGAGACAATCCTTCCAATCAAAAAGGGAATCGACCCCACGCAACGTTATCCTCTTGCTCCTGTTGCCGCTAATCTCCCTCCGCCTTCCCCCCTCTCTCCTCCACACCCCCATCTTCGATCCGACCTCCCGATGACTCATCGCCAGCTCCCCATCCATGTCCGGGAGCCTTGGCGTTGACGACCAATCTGGGTCAGCAAGGAAGCACGGCCTGGGGGGGGGGGGGGGCAGGAAGAGAGAGGGAGGGAGCGAGAGAGAGAGAGAGAGCAGAGAGAGAGAGAGAGAGAGAGAAAAAAAAAAAAGGCAACAAGCACGAATGCACATACCAAACTTTAGGAAGGTTGAGGTCAACTGAAATATGTTATATGAAATCCTCGCCGGCCGTGGTCTGAGAGGTTCAAACGATAAACCTATGCTTCTTATTATTGGATATGAAGAACACATGGGCTGCTGTCATGCGGATGCATGGGTGCTCTCCGCGGCTCCCGCCGCATGGTTACCGATCTGCAGCCATGAGCTGGCTATATATATATGTATATATATACATATATATATATATGTATGCTGGCATGGTGGACAAGGGCGTACGTACCCCAATCCACTCGATGCTCATGCGGCGCTACCCGTGCCTCCAGGATGACTGTTCCGGACGGATGAAGAAGGGTTCACCATGGCCCTTCTGGGCTCAGGGTCACGGCTGGCCGGAGTCGTAGCCCTCCGCAGCCAGTGGAGCCCCTGGGCTCGGGTGCTCGCACTAGTGGATGTTGGTGGAGAAGTAACACCTCACGCCTCACCACCATCATCCTGATCAGCATCACCTTGATAAGTACAATCACCATCATCACCACCACCATCACCATCACCAGCAGCATCACCATCAGCATCAGCATCAGCATCATCATCATCAGCATCATCACCATCATCATCATCATCACCATCATCATCATCATCGTCATCATCATTTTCATCATTGACATCATCATCATCATCATCATCATCATCATCATCATTGCCATCATCACCATAATCAACAACCTAATCATCAGCCTCAGCAGCACCGGTATCATCATCACCATCATCGTTAGCATCATTATCATCACCATCATCATCAACATCATCATCACCATCATCATCAACATCATCGTCATCATCAGCACCATCACCATCACCATCACCATCACCATCACCATCATCATCATCATCATCATCATCATCATCATCATCAGCCTGCGTCTACCGTCGGTTAGAAGGGTAGGAGTGGTCCTCTGGTCCTCTTCCCCTTGCACACCCACCATTGAAAACTTCGTTCTGCGTGGTCGTGGGGGAAGCACGAAGCGGGCCAACACTTTCGTAGCGCCGATACATCGAATTCCTGTTAACCAACAGGTATTGTATTACATAATGTTGCGGGCTGCTGGAATCAGCGCGTCCCAATTGGAATTCCGATTCGCAGAACCAGATTGTATACAAGAATTATGCGGGAGGCTGGGATCGGCGCATTTTCCTCTGAGTTCATTGAAAGATGAATTATGCATAAAGGTGCTGAAGATAAATCGGATGTCAAACGCCGCTGCCCCTCGAAGGCACACTTCTCATTATCATCATCGCCATCATCATCATAATCATCATCATCACCATCATTAGATCAGCACAAGCATCAGCATCAGCATCATCATCATCATCATCATCATCGACAGTGCGTTAAGCGCGTATTAGCTTAATGCACATGAGAAACCACACACAGACTGCATAATGCCCAGTGGCCGAATAGGAGCCGCCGCCGACGTAGCAACGGCAAGAGGTAGAAGTGTAAGTGGTAGTGCTAGTGATTCCCAGTTCGAACAAAGCAGAAGGCAACAAGAAAAACTACACAAGACCCAAACTGGATCCGTGGAGCTCCTCGGTGAGGTCGTCGCTTCAGATCCGCTGTGGCGGCCTCACGATGGCACCACGTTGGCCCAAGAGAGCCCCACGAGGGGCCAACTGGGCCCCCAGAGGGCTCCACGAGGCGAGTTCTGAGCTCGGGGAGGGGGGGAGCCCTAAAGCTGCTTTACACATACATAACTGTACATATACATATATGTGTTAACATTAGATGGCTTCGAAAATTGCCTCCAGAAGGCCCCCGAGAAGGCCACGGAAGAGCCCCACTGGCCTCCCACATGACCCCACCAATTGTCCCAAGAAGGATGCCAAGAGGCTTCCATATCGAACGTCCGCGAAGGCATGTCTGGTAATTAACTCCTGGGCCTGTTCAGGCTGTTCCTGGTCTTCGTTTTGACGGCCGCTGGGGATACGCGACAGGTCAATATTCATCCTATTTGGGGCAGGGCTCCCCTTTGGAAGACACTTGTGTAGCCTCGGGTGCCTTCTGCCAGCAATCGGTCCCGAATGTACTGCCACCTTCATCCCCCCTCTCAGGCCTGCCGGCCCCGCGCTCGAGGTCATAAGCGCCAACGCCGCCGCCGCCGTCGCCATCGCCGCCAATGTCCTGGTCGTTGTCGGCACCGCCACCGCCGCCGCCGTGATCGTCAACGTCGTCGCTGCCGCCGTGGTGGCGGTCGTCGTCGTCGTCGTCGTCGGGCACGTCGCCGTCGGGCGTCGTCGTCGTCGAAGTCGTCGTCGTCGTCGTCGCCGCCAACGTCGGCGTCGTCCTCCCCATCGTGGGCGTTGTCGCCGTCGCCGTCGTCGTCGTCGTCGCCGTTGTCAACGTCGTCGTCGTCGCCGTCGTCGTCGGCGCCGTCGCCGCCGCCGCCGCGTTCGTCGCCTCCCTCGCCGTCGTTGTCGGCGCCGTCGCCGTCGCGATCGTCGCGTTCGCCGCCCTTTGCCGCCGCCACCACCGAGGGGCGCGGCGGAGGGTGCGGAGGCGCGCGCGCCGTCTATGTTCTCCCGGGGCGCCTTGTCGTGGCCCTGGCGCCCCCCCGTCCGTCCCGCCCCGCCCTGTCTCCGCCCCCTCCTTCCCATCCCCTCCCCTGCCCTCCCTCCCTCCCTCTCCCCACTCTGCTCCCCCTGCCTCTCCCCACTCCACTCCGCCCCCCCATCCCCCTCCCCAACCCTCCCCTCCCCTGCGTCCTCGCTCCCTCTCTGTCCCCCATCCCGTCCCTCCCTCTGCTCCCTCCCTCCCTCCCCCCCCCTCCTTACATCCCCTCTCCCTTCTGCGCCGCGTCCTCCATCAAGGAGCCCACAAAGGACGTACGCGCCCAGCTATGTACATGAACACGGCCCCTCGGTCCGCGAGACTGGCCGCGTGATACGAACATTTGCGCAATGCGTACTCTCGGAACAAACGTGGATTCATGTACGTGTACGGTGTTCTTTCGCTCCTAGCAGGAGCGAAAGAAGGACGTACACCTACATGAATCCATGCTGGTTTCGAGAGTTCGCATTGCGCGAATGTTCGTGTCACGCGGCATGTCTCGCGGACCGAGGGGCCGTGTTCATGTACATAGCTGGGCGCGTACGTCCTTTGTGGGCTCCCTAGCGTTCCCCCTCCCTTCCCCCCCTCCTTCCCTTGCCCCCACGTCCTCCCGTCTTCCCTCCATCCCTCTGCGAGCCGCCTCCATCGCTTCCCCCCCGCCACATCGGAACAAGCCGCGGCGCTCGGCTGCCACCTCTCTCGCTCCACTAGAGGTACCCGTCGGTCGAACGTCGTAGGTAAAAACACGAAGTGGGAAGGCGGATCAAAAAGATTGGCTTCAGGCCCTCCCGGGGAATAACAAAACACATCAAACGCACATCGACTCTTGAAACAGGAAGGGGCTTGGGATAGAGGGACCCCCCCCCAAAAAAAGCATGCTTTTCAACGACCGGCGTGCAAAACACACAACACAACATCAACTGTGAAAGGTCCGCGCGGATTGCACGGATCGGAGCTTGAGTACCCTTCCTGGCACGAAACGCGCGCCAGAGGCGGCGCCAAAGACGCCGCCTGGGGTGTGCAGCGCCGCGCCGAAGAAAACCCGTGCGGATCTCCGAACGTTTAGGATCCGCCTCCGTGCCCCGGGGCACGAATTGGGGTGTCCTCAGGTGCAAGCTGCACAGGAGGTAGGCGTGCTGAACCAAAAGCCCGGCCTTGCCTCCGCCGGCGCGCTGGTGGCGCGTAGCCCTTCATCAAGTACACCAAAGAAGAGCCCCAATCAGTGGATGCGTCGGATGAATCATGAGATCGATCATGAGATCGATAATGAAGATCGATGAGAAAATCGACCGGGAACCCAGAAACCACAGAAATCGGCCCATAACCAACAACCAAGAACCGGGGAAGCCAGAACCGGGAACCCGGGAACCCAGCCGGCTACCAAAATCGGCGGGAAACTTTCGCCACAACTTTCAATCTTTCAATATCCGCTATTGACCCCTTCCGTGCAAGCGCTGATCGGGGGATTGAGTACGCCAAAGGGTGTCGCCGCGGCAAGGCGCGGGGCTGGCCAGGGGCAGCCTGTCAGGCGGGCGGCAAGGAAGGTCCCTTGTGTGCGATGCCCTGGCGCCCCCGTCCTCAGTCCCCAGGACTCTCGGACGAGCCCTGGGCCCCAAACTCCCTCCCTTGTGTGCGATCCGATCCCCTGGCGCCCCCGTCCTCAGTCCCCAGGACTCTCTGACGAGCCCTGGCCCCGCGGCTCCCCGCGGAGGCCTTGGGACGGCACACGAGGCGGCGGCGAGCCCGGGGGGGACGAGGGGGCGGGACCTTCGCAGAAGGCCAGGAGGGCCACGGGCCTGCCGAGGAGTGAGGAGTGAGGAGGAGGAGGAGGAGGAGGAGGAGGAGGAGGAGGAGGGTTCCGGGGTGCCCCGCGGCTCCCCGCACCACCTCTTCGGCCCCAGGGGGGCCTCGGAGCGCCGACCGGTCGGCCCAAGACGCCCAAGATTGCCTCCAGACGGCCCACGACGCCCGTGGAGGCCTTCCAAAGAGGGCCCCAAGAGGCACAAATCGTTGATGTTCCTCAGGTGTGTGAAAGATTTGGCGGGCGTCATCGCCTTTTCGGCTTCCCGGCGCTCCAGGACGGCGTCAAAGCGTCCAAGGTCGCCCCAAGACGGCCCAAGCCTCCAAGAGGGCCCCAAGACCGCCCAGAGGGCCCGAAGACGGCCCAAGAGGCTTCCAAGATCGCCCAAGAGGCCCCCATGACGGCTTCCAAGAGCGGGCCCAGACGGGGGACCCGAACGGACCTTTCGAGCCCGTGACCTCGGGAGGTCCCCAGGAGGCCCCCGAGAGGCTGTAAGCGGCCCCCAAAAGGCTCCCAAGAAGCCCGAAAGAGGCCCCAAAACAGCCCCCCCCCTGAGGCCTCAACGCTGCCTCCAGGAGGCCCCCGAGAGGCCTCCCACGAGATCCCAACGAATATCCAAGAGGCCTCTCACCCACAACCCAAGCACGGTGGCGGAGTGGAACGAAGGCCATTCGATGATGCAGCCATTCATGCATACTTTCTTGCTTCTTATTGCAATTCCGATGGTTCTTCTACGGGAGCCGATTCTCGGATGCCATGCCTCTCGCTCCACAACTTCCTCCCCGCGCACCCCCCCTTTGCATTAAGCAAACGGGTCCTGAGGGAACCTGGTCTTTGAAAGTGCGGGGGCCCGTATAGGGCCCCCAGATCCCGCGACATCCGACGATACGATTTGTTTCAATGAGCAGCCCCAACAATCTCGACCCCCTCCCTGGGGATAGTTCGGGCGCGGCCTAACCGACCCCTAGCAAACCATCCCCTGCTGTGACGTCATCCCCGCCGTTCGAACTACCCCTGGCCGCATACATAAATCTTGGGGCGAGGCGAGGGGTACGTCACGGAAGGGGATGGTTTGCTAGTGGTCGGTTAGGCCGCCCCCAAGTAGTTGTTCGTCCCCGATCCAATTTACATAGCCCCAAAGCCCGATGACGGGCCCCAAAGACCGACATCGAGGAACAGAGCCGGGATGCATCATAATCTGGACGATGTACCCATTCCTTGCGCAGCGCGTGCGCACACTTTGTAGGGGGTGAGGACGATGCATCGAAGGATGAGGAGGAGGATGAAGATGAGGATGACGAGGTAGAGAAGGAGGCGGAGCATGAAGAGGAGCAGATGTTCTGCGAACGTCACTCGGGGGGCTCGCACTCTCCTCGCCCCTCGAGCTCGTCAACCACCACTGGTCACGGATCGGTTGCAGAGCGACGGGGCACACGGAGGGGACGGGGGGAGCGGGATGAGGGGCAGAGAAGGAGGGAGAGATCAAGGCCCTGAGCTCCTGGCGTCTCAACTTTTCGATCCGGGCGTTTTCGTTTTTTTTTCCGGGCCCTAGGACCCTCACAAATCGATCAGGCTCGAAAAATGAAGCAGAATGATGGGGTCCAGGGCTCCGAGCGCGATTCTTGATGTTTTACGATGTTGCATGTTTTGTTTTCGTCACGCCAGATCTTGGGGGATGGAGGGGTGCGGAAGGAGGCCTCTGGATGCCTCCCAACACATGGCCACGAACGTCCAGCGGGAGCAGGAGGGAGTTGGGGCTAGCCTGCTGAAAGGGTGATGCAGATGAGCCAACACCTAATTAGCGCCCTGCTCGGTCGCTTGTTTTGAGCCTGCGCAACATCACGACTGCGCTCTTGGCTGTGCTCCTGCTTGCACGGCGAAGGTCTCTGGACACCTCTAAACCAAGATCTGTCAACCAATGGCAATCATCTAAACGCGTCCAAGCACGTGTTTGGAGAAGCTTTGGGATGCCCCGGGAGGCTCAAGGATAATCAAGCACGCTCAGCAACTACATCCTCGACGCCCCTCCTCCTCCTCCTCCTCCTCCACCTCCTTCTTTTCCTCCTCCTCCTCCTCCTCGATCCTCCTCGATCCTCCTCCTCGATCCTCCTCCTCCTCGATCCTGGGCCCTCGCCTCGAGGATCGACCATGGGCCAGGAGGATGGGGAGGCGGCACGGGGCACAGCCTTGGGGCAGGCAGGGAGGCGCAGGACACCCGCCGCGGGCCGGCCGCGCCGAGAGGCGCCTCGACCGCCTTTTTGGACGCCCGAAATGGGTACGGAAAGAATGGGTACAATGCCCGACAGCAGTTCCTGTTCATTCGGAACAGGAACCGTTGTCGGCGTCGCCGCGGCCTGTGTCCATCTGAGACAGAAGGCCGCCTGCCCAACAGCGGCCGGCATTGTACCCATTTTTTCTGTACCCATTTCGGGCGTCCAGACCCCTGGAACCCCCGCCCCTCGGGGACCGGACGTGAGCAGGAGCGATCCAGGGGGGGGGGAGACAACATCGACCTGGCTTCTCGGCGATGCCTCGCCGACAGGTCGGCGACGCCGGCCCGATGGCGACGCCCCACGGCCTTGGCGGGGGGTGGGCCGGGCCCCTTTCGCCGCTCCGGGCGCGACTGAGGTCCGGTGCAGTACCCTCCCTCTGGGCCTACCCCCCTCAGGGGTGCCAAGAGAGCCAGGGGTCGAATCGTCGATTGAAAAGATCGGATCGGCAGAAATAGGAGTAATTAATGCCTCATGAGAAAAGAGATTGCAGGAATCGGATCGGCATGTTGAAAAGAATAGGAATGCCTCATTGAGAACTCGGAGTCCAAATCGGACGTCAAAGTCGAATTGGATCGGAATCGGAATGCTTCGAAATCGAATCGAATCGAATCGGAGGAATCGAAACGAGCCCTGCCCTGGGGGTGGAGGAGGAGGAAGCGGAGGAGGAGGAGGAGGAGGAGCGGGAGGGGGAGGAGGAGAGGGAGGAGGGTGAGGAAGAGGAGGAGGAGGAGGAGGAGGAGGAGGAGGAGGACGTCCTACCCCTCCCTCCCATCCCTTACCATGGCGTAGATCTCCTCTCTATTCGCAGTCGGATGTCGTGCAAGGGCATAGCATTGCATGGCATAGCATGGTGTTGAAGATCAACGCGTAGCCTGACATAGCATGGCGTGGCTACGCCCCAAAGTGGGGGGGGCTTCTGCGACCCAGAAAATCAAAGAATCGGCACCGAATGTGGAAGCACTTTCTTTTTTTTCCGAAGGGGGGGCATGTTCTAGATTTTGGGATCTGTTTGGAAGGACCGAAACACTTGCCGTGGCATGGCGCTGGAGATAAGAACGCCAGCGTTGCAACGGAAGCGCGATTCGGAACGAGCGGCAGCGCGGAAATGAGACCAACGCTGCAGCGGGAGCACGATTCGGAACGAGCGGTAGCCCGAACATGAGGCCAGCATGTCGACAAACGCCTCAGCGAGAGCAACATGTATGTGTATATATATATATAATCATTTCCCAGTAATCCGGTGTGTATGAAGTAGCCTGGCGAAGGATCCAACCTTATGCAGTTGTGAATGCCGCAATTGTGCTGGATGATGGCGGACGCAGGCGGGCGGTGCCACTGGGACCTTCGGTGGAGCTCCCTATGGGGCAACGAAGCGCTGTACTGGGTGGGTGAGCGCAGAGAGCAAGGGCTGTGCTGGGTGGTGGCGGACGCGTGCGGGCGGTGCCACTGGGACCTTCGGTGGAGCCCCCTATGGGGCAACGAAGCGCTGTACTGGGTGGGTGAAACACAGGATCAAGGGTTGTGCTGGGTGGTGGTGGACGCATGCGGGCGGTGCCATTGGGACCTTCGGTGGAGCTCCGTATGGGGCCACGAAGCGTTGTACTGGGTGGGTGAAACGAAGGTGGCAACGGCTGTGCTGGGTGGTGGCGGACGCACGCGGGCGGTGCCACTGGGGCCTTCGGTGGAGCTCCGTATGGGGCCACGAAGCGCTGTACTGGGTGGGTGACACGCAGGGAACAAGGGTTGTGCTGGGTGGTGGCGGACGCACGCGGGCGGTGCCACTGGGGCCTTCGGTGGAGGTCCCTATGGGGCCACGAAGCGCTGTACTGGGTGGGTGTAACGCAGGGAGGAGGGAGCAGGGGGAGGAGGGAGGGGAGGAGAAGGAGAGGAGGGACGCGGGGACCGTCTCTTCAAAACGAGGACACAACACCACACGATGGTTGAGAAAAAACCTGCACGCGGAGGGGGGCCGAACTTTTCCCTGACGCCACTCGGCGAGAGAGGATATTATTCATATTAGGTACTTGTGTGTGAGGAGGAGGAGGAGGAGGAGGAGCAGGAGGAAGGGCAGGAGGAGGAGGACAAGGATGAGGAGGAGGAGCAGGAGGAGCAGGAGGAAGGGCAGGAGGAGGAGGACAAGGATGAGGAGGAGGAGCAGCAGAAAGGGGAGGAGGAAGGGGAGGAGGAGGGGAGGGAGGGAGAGAGAGAGAGAGAGAGAGAATCTCGAGGCCCCCGCGGCCCGCCGCCTGACGCGCCGCGGCCGCCGCCTGCAAGCCCACCTGCTGCGAGCTCGGGCCGAAGCCTCGCGCGCGCGCGGGGAGGCGCGCGGCCGCGGCCCCCTCCACCCTCCGCCGTCGTCGTTGTCGCCCGTCGTCGTCGTCGCCCGTCGTCGCCGTCGTCGTCGTCGTCGTCGTCGTCGTCGTCGTCGTCGTCGTCGTTGTCGCCGTCGTCGTCGTCGTCGCCGTCGTCGTCGTCGTCGTCGTCGTCGTCGCCGTCGTCGCCGTCGCCGTCGTCGTCGTCGCCGTCGCCGCCGTCGCCGTCGTCGTCGTCGTCGTCGTCGTCGTCGTCGTCGTGGTGGGCCGCGGCCCCCCTCCGCCGTCCGCCACAGCCGCAGCTGGCGCCTCGGCGAGCAGGGCGAGCTGCGACCACGGCAGCCCACAGAGCGGTCCCCGGGCCCCTCCGTGGGCCCAGACGCGCCAACTAAGGAGGCAACTGCTGCGAGGTCTTCGTCGGAAGGATGCAGGGGAGGATCAGGCCCCATTGGGGGGGGGCTGCTATGCCGGAACAGGCCGCGGATTACGAGCGGGATGAAGCCTGATCAAGCGGGATTCAGCCGGAGCAAGCGGGATTAAGCCAGACTTAGCGGGATTAAGCGGGATTCTGGACCAGGGCAGAATCAGAATTTGACCTCCCAGGAGTTCCAACCGAACATGAATAGGTCCCCTGAGTCCTCCCGGTCCAGACGCGCCAGCTTGCCGAGCGGCGTGCAGCCGCGACGACGACGGGGGGCCCCATAGGCCAACTGCCGCTGTTTCAGCTGACCCTTATTCGCTCACCTAGCGTATGCGCGCCAGGGGTATTCACACACAATGCAGTGGAATGAGAGTTACTCGTCGCTGCGACGAAGATCCTGAGACCTACGAAGCTTCAGAGCAGCGCGTCACTCCTCGACAATTGTGTGGAGGTAGAGGAGGAGGGCGATAGGCAAGGAGGGAGGGTGACGAAATCACCAAAAACACCGCTTAGGACCCCAAAATCACCAAAAACACCGCTTAGGTCCAGCCCTGCCGCCGCGCTGAAGGCCTGAGCAGAGACATGCCGCTGCTTCGGATCATGCTCGGGCCTGCGGCGCTGAAGCCAGAGGCCCAGGCCGCGGAGAAGGGGGAGGGAGGGAGGAGGAGGAGGAGCAGGAGGAGGAGGGGGACGACGAGGAGGAGTAGTAGGAGGAAGAGGGAGGGAGGGAGGGAGGGAGGGAAGAGGGAGGAGGAGGTAGGAGTGAGGAGGGAGGAGGGAGGGAGTGAGGAGGAGGAAAAGGACGAGGAGGGAGGAGGAGGAGGTGAAGGAGGTCCTCTCTGGGGGGCAAGCTCTGACCAGGCCTGCCGAAGCAAAATGCAGCCGTGGCGACGAGGGAAGCCCCCGGACCCCTGCGACGTGCTGCTCGCTCCAATGCTCGGCCCCCGGGGGATCCCAACACTTGCGCCCCAGGATAAGACGAAGCCAGGACGAGGACAACGTTGGGGGAAGATCAATCGAGAATCTCTGAGATCCGACGGCTCTGGTGGACGCCTCGGGCGGCGCGTCCTTTTCAGAACGTTCCCGAACGCTCTCAGAGCGTTCCCGAACGACATAAAACGGACTTATCATCGTCCTAGCCCCGTCCGACAGGGCTTGTTTTTCATGCTGACTCGTTTTGTTGAAGGTCCCGGGGCCCGGCCAGGGCCCCCGAAGGCCAAGCAATGCCGAAAACCTCCCGCCCTGATTCTTGCTCACGACGCGAGCATGTCTGGGGCGGGAAGGGTAGCAGTATGGGTGCCTTCTCCAAATTTGAAGATAGAGGCCTCCGAGATGGGGTCCGAGTACATGGTGTCGGAGGATCGCGCCGCAGCGGCGGTACATCTGCGATGCATCGGCAACGTCGGCGAATCATCGGCGACGTCGGCGTGGAGAACATCGGGCTCCACGGTTCCACATCGAGCTGCACCACGGATGCATCGCGATCCTCCGACCCCATCTGCTCGGACCCCGTCTGAGGACTTGCCACCGCTCGGATGTCCATTTCCCGTGCGTTTCGTGTGTTTGTTGTCTTGGCGAGCTGAGCGAACCTGCTCCTCGATGGTCCTGAGCGATGCTGAGAGGGGCCTGGAGATGGGCAGGACCTCGAAGGCCTGCGGCTGAGGCCCTGTGCCGGAGGCGGCCAAGAGGAGGGGGGGGTCGCAAATCATGGCCGGCGACATGTGCGCGGCCCAGTGCTGGATGCTTATTCTGGGGACCTTCCTGGAGAAACTCGCTCCACTCATGCGTCGACGCTGCGTCGAACGTGCGTCGATTTGAGTCGACCCTGAGTCGAACCTGACTCGAACTTGAGTCGAACTTGAATCGAACTTGAATCGCACTGGGGTCGAGCAGATCCGTAAAGTGGGCCCCAGGGAGGTCCCCAAATATAGGCCAGAAGAGCATCCCTCAAGAACATGACACCCTCCGCCAGCAAAAACAAGCAGAACATCCAAGGGAACCCTCCCCAGGATGCAGAAGAACTTCCAAGAGGAACGAAAAACACTAGGGTGCTCACCCCGAACCGACATGGATCTGATACGTCGGTCCGACTGTAAAAACATCCGAAGATTGCGCAGCGACCTTACGCGGTGGCTTACGCGTGCCGCTGGCGCGGCACGCCGAAATGGAAGCGAGGGCGTTTACGCGCGGATTTACGCGGGCAACTTACGTGTCACTGTCGGCGCAGTCGAACCCGATTTTCTCTGTCGCTCACATGCGAGCGAGGAGGACGATGGATACCCGAACCTCTGGCGTCTGACTTCCCGTTCGAGCCGCGGGCCCCTCAGACCTTGAGTACCTTTTCTCTCCTTCAGACCCGGGCGCATTTACTTGCATGGCATGCTGCTCTCATCCCACCTCCGCCGCCTCTTCGAGCAAAAGCCGGGCCACAGAGGCGTGTCAATGAGTCCCGACTGGCGCGAAGTCCAGATTTTCCTTTCGGGCCTTGCCACGACCCTTAGGTCGGGCGTGTCCCCCCACAGGCGGATTTGGGGCGAACAATTATGAATCCCCCCCTCCCTTGCCGCGCCATGCAAGTAAACTTGCCGGAGTCCGAAGAACAACCCAGCCTCCTCTCTGACCCCTGCTCCTCCTCCTCCTCCTCCTCCTGCGTCCTCCTTCCCCTCCTCCTCCTCCTCCTCCTCCTCCTCCTCCTCCTGCGTCCTCCTTCCCCTCCTCCTCCTCCTCCTCTTCCTCCTCCTCCTCCTCCTCCTTCTCCTGCTCCTCCTCCTCCTCCTCCTCCTCCTCCGACCCGTCCTCCTCCTCCCCTCCCCCTCCTCCTCCTTCTCCTCCTCCTCCTCCTCCTCCTCTTCCTCCTTCTCCTCCTCCTCCTACTCCTCCTCCTCCTCCTCCTCCTCCTCCTCCTCCTCCTCCTCCTCTGGGGCGCTGGGCGCTGATGGCTATGGAGTCCTACCCGACGGTCTCCCCTGGTGCAGCGGCGGGCAAGATTGTGCATGCTCGCGCGCCGCAGTCCCCTGGACTCTGGCGAAACCAGCGAGATGGTTTAGGCATCATCCTCCTCTTCCCCCTCCTACTCCTTGCTCCCCCCCCTGCACCACCTTCACACATGTGCCCCTCCGCCCTGACGTCCGCAGTCGTCGTCGTCTGCGGCCGTCGTTGTCCGTTGTCGTCGTCGTCGTTGTCGTCGTCGCCAAAGTCAACACCGTCGTCGTCAGCGTCGTCCGTCGCCGTAGTCATAGTCGTAATAGTGTCGTCGTCGTACTCGTCCGTCGTCGTCGAAGTGGTCGTCGTCGTCGTCGTCGTCGTCGTCGTCGTCGTCGTTGTGTTCGTCGTCGTCGTCCGTCGTCCGTCTTCTTCCGTCGTGCGTCGGGCGTCGTCCGTCGTCCGTCGTCTTTCGTCCGTCGTCCGTCGTCCGACGTCCGACGTCCGTCACCGTCGTCGTCGTCGTCGTCGTCACCGTCGTCGGCGTCATCGTCCGTCGTCCGACGTCCGTCGTCCATCATCCGTCGTCCGTCTCCGTCGTTGTCGTCGTCGTCATCCGACGTCCGTCGTCCGTCGTCGTCCGTCGTCCGTCGTCTGTCGTCCGTTGTCCGCAAGCGTCGTCGTCGTCCGTCGTCCGTCCTCCATACTCGTCTACACTCGTCGCTCATCGTCGTCGTCGTCGTCGTTGTGATCGTCGTCGTCCGTTGTCCGTCGTGTGTCGTCCGTCGTCGTCGTCGTCGCCGTCGCGGTGGTCGTTGTCGTCGTGGCCATCGTCCGTCGTCCGTCGTCTGTCACCCGTCGTCCGTCGTCCGCCGTCGTTGTCATCATCGACGCTGCCGTCGTCGTCGTCGTCCGTCGCCGTCGTCGTCGTCGTCAGTCGTCCGTCGTCCATCATCCGTCGTCCGTCGTCCGTCGTCCGTCGTCGTCGTCGCCGTCGTCCGTCCTCCATAGTCGTCCATTCTAGTCGTCCATCGTCGTCGTCAAAGTGGTCGTCGTCGTCCGTTGTCCGTCGTGTGTCGTCCGTCGTTTGTCGCCGTCGTCGTCGCGGCCGTAGTCGTCGTCGTCATCGGCCGTCGTCCGTCGTCCGCCGTCGTTGTCATCATCAGCGCCGCCGCCGTCGTCGTCGTCCGTTGTCCATCGTCCGACGTCCGTCGCCGCCGCCGTCGTCGTCGTCAACGTCAACATCGTTATCTGTCGTCCGTCGTCCGTCGTCCGTCGTCGTCGTCGTCGTCGTCGTCGCCATCGCCGTCGTTGTCGTCGTCGTCGTCGTTTTCGTCGTCGTCCGTCGTCCGTCGTCGGTCGTCCTTCGTGCGTCGCGCGTCGTCCGTCGTTTCGTCCGTCGTCCGTCGTCCGTCGTCGTCGTCGTCCTCGTCGTCGTGGTCGTCATCGTCGTCACCGTCGTCGTCGTCGTCGTCGTCATCGTCCGTCGTCCGTCGTCCATCATCCGTCGTCCGCCTTCGTCGTCGTCGTCGTCATCCGACGTCCGTCGTCGGCTGTCCGTCGCCGTCGTCGTCGTCGTCAGTCGTCCGTCGTCCATCATCCGTCGTCCGTCGTCCGTCGTCCGTCGTCGTCGTCGTCATCGTCGTCGTCGTCGTCCGCCGTCCATCGTCCATTGTCGTCCATACTCGTCGTCAATCGCCGTCGTCGTCGTTGTGTTCGTCGTCGTCCGTCGTCCGTCGTCGTCGTTGTCGTCGTCGTCGTCTCCGTCGTCGTCGTCATCGTCGTCATCGTCGGTCGTCCGTCGTCTGTCGTCCGTCGTCCGTCGGCCGCAGTCGTCGTCATCATCAACGCCGTCGTCGTCGTCCGTCGTCCGTCTACCGTCGTCCGACGTCCGTCGCCGTCGTTGTCGTCGTCGACATCGTCTTCGTCGTTGTCCGTCGTTCGTCGTCCGTCGTCTGTCGTCTGTCGTCGTCGTCGTTGTCGTCGTCGTCGTCGTTGTCCCCTCCTGGGGTGCGGCGGTCGCGGCCGCGTCCGGCGCCTCGCTCCTCGGGTCGCGCCTGCTGCGGCTCCGTCGCGGCCAGCGCCTGATGGCGCGCGGCGGCGCGGATGGGGGAGGGGTGGCGCCCACTGCTCGGCCTCATTCGGGAAGAGGAGGCAGAGAGAGGAGGAGAAAGGAGGAGGAACAAGGAGAAGGAAATAAGAGGAGGACGAGGAGGAGCAGGAGGAGAAGAACGAAGGAGGAGGAACGAGGAGGAAAGAGGAGGAAGAGAGGAGGAGGAACGAGGAGGAGAGAGGAGGAGGAGGAGGAAGAGGAGAAGGAGGAGGAGGAGGAGGAGGATGGGAATGATGACGCAGGAGGAGAAGGAGGAGGAGGAAGAGAGGGAGGAGGAGGAGCAGAAGAGAGGAGGAGATAGAGAGAAAGGGAAATAACAAAAAGGGATCCAGAGGGAGAGAGAGAGAGAGAAGAGAGAGGAGAGAGGAGGAGGTGGAGCAGGAGATGGAGGATGATGAGGAGGAAGAGGAGGAGGAGGAGGAGGACGAGGACGAGGAGGAGGAGGAGGAGGAGGAGGACGAGGAGGAGGAGGAGGAGGAGGAGGAGGAGGAGGAGGAGTGAGGAGAATATAGAAAACGACGAAAGCGTCGTGGTCGTAGTTTTTTGGGGGGCAAAAGCACTATCCATGACGCGCCGCCGTGGGGACCCGATCGGCAATCGGCGCGCAAATTTTGCAGAAACGCCCGGCCCCCAGAGGTCACCCAGGGTGCCCAGAGGCCTCCGGGGGCCCGAAGAGGAGCCAAGCACCAGCAAAAGCCCTCATCCTAGATCCTCGGACCTCGGCAACGTTGACGGCGACGACGACGACGGCGGCTCGGGGGAGTCGGGGAGGGCGGAGGACGCATGGGGGGAAGGAGAGGAGTAGAGCGGGGACCACTGACGACACAAACAAACTGCAACAACGCAGAAAAAACTCGACAGGAACTCCGGGCCACATCTTTCTGCCGCGTTTCTCGAGCTGGATCGATCCGTGAGGGCCCCCAGGCAGGCAGGCTGAACCGAGCATCCGGAAGGACGCGTGGGCAGAAAAGTGCACGATTGGCAGATCTTCGCGGACATCTAAAGTACACCCGCTCGATTGTGAAACAGAAGATCGGGTTGCGCATCATGGCTGTGAAGCAGGAGACAAAAGAGGAGCGGGAGGGGAACGAGGAGCGGGCGAAGCGGAGTCACAAACAAGACAAAGCATACACCGAAATCGCCCGCTGTTGTCGCGGGCGCCCTCGTTTCCGGCGGCGGGCCCAGTTTTCGGGAATGCCGTCCGCATCGCACAATATGTCTTTGATCAGGGATGGGTCTGGGGAGCTGGCGATTCGACTGTACGGAGCTATCTGGCGTTCTTTCAGAATCTCAGATAACGGTGTCGACGACGCTCGCTGCAACACGTCGCTGTTGCGAACGCGAGAAACAAAAGAGTGGGGAATACCCAACATACGCCGCAGGCATTTGCAGTGGAAGCTGTCCAATCTCGACCTGTCTGCTTTTAAGAGCCATACAGAGTCCAAGGAGTACATGAGCTTGCTGAGCACGCAACTTGAATATTTTATGTGTTTACGTTGTCTCCCGATTGACGCGTTCGCCCAGATCCGGCCCAGCAACTTGAAAATTTTAGCCGCTTCCCCCAATCGCCGGGTCACCTCGGTCGTCGCTTTCCCGTCGCAAGTGATAAGCCCGCCAAGAAAGACGGCTTCGCGGACTGACTTGATCGGCTCGCCAGTCGGATCCTGCTGTCTGTTGGGATATTATGTTGAACTGCTTTCTCCCAGTTTAACTGCAGTCCGTACTTCTCTCCCTCGGCAACGATTGCCGCCAGCAGGCCGTTCAAATTTTCAGCGTGTCGTGAAAGAAGCAACGTGCCATCAGCGTAGAGGATCGCGCGTCACTAGAAATGCCGGCTCTGCTTGGAGATCAACAGTGCGAAATACATCATGCAGCATCACACTTTGAACGATGATAAATAAGTAAGGTGACAGGGGGCAACCATGCGCAATCCCAGAGTGCTGTGTTCTTTCAGATGACGTACCTGTTGCTAAATCGTGATGGTCTTTCAGCGCGATGTGTTTCCAGGATGGTGAAATATCCTGCTGCGTAAATGGACCGTATAAGTTGGACCATGCAGGGAAGAACACCGAAGCGGAAGAGTGCGTAACACATGCAATCCGGCTTAATCCTGTCAAATGTTTTGGCCCAGTCAAGCATGAGTAGAGAAAGCCCCCCGTCGTTGTCCAAGTGCGCCGCATTGGTGATACGCCTCACTAACATAAGCGCGTCGCTGGTTCCTTTTCCCAGGTCTGAACCCATACTGAGATTGTCGTAATCGAAGCTCTGCTCCCCCCTGAACGAGGCGTCGGTGTAGAAGTGCAGCTAGGATTTTGCATCCAAGCGGCAACAAAGAGATAGGCCTGTAGTTTGCGGGTAGAGCCGCACTTCCTTTTTTGAACAACAGCACGACATTCGAACGTCTCCGAATTTCTGGAATTGAGTTTTGTTCCCAGCAATTCCGAACCATGTCCAATAATATGCCGCAAGCGATAGAATCTGAGCCCAAGAATTTCCAAAACTCTGGCGGGACATCGTCGAAACCGGCGTCTTCCCTTTCTTGAGCATTCGCAGTACTGCCTTCATTTCATTGTTGGTGAAAGGAGACGCGTCGACAGGAAGCACGTTGCCCAGTGGTGTATTCTGTTCTGGACGTGTGTCCCCAAATTTGTACTCCCAGTGCTCGTTCTCAAAATAGTCCGCTATCACATCTGCTCGTTCTTCCGTGTCGGCTGGAGTGCCATCGGGGCGCTCTATAGTGGCATGTTGTGTTTTCTTTCGTTTTCGCAGGTGTTGAACAGCATTCCAACTACCATTCATAGTAATATCGTGTAGCCATACTTCTCGGTCGTTCTTGCCAGATTTTCGGATCAGTCTGTGAAATCGTTTCTCATTGTCGTGATCTCCAGCCCGTCGATCAGCATTGCGTTCGACAATCAAGTCAAATGTACCCTGGCTCGTCCACGGGCGTCTCGCTGACGATCTCGATACCTGCAAGACGGCTGCAGCCTCAGCAAAAGCATGTTGTGGATCGGCTGCTGCGGTGTCCAAATTGTCGGTGGCCTTCGATTGAAGCGTCGCGTTGACGAGTGCATTCAAAAAGCTGCGTTGTGCTCCCAGGTCGCCCAAAGCTTGTGTATCCACTCTCTGCTTCGGTTGCTTTTGTTGCGTCTCGAACTCGATGCGTACGCCCGCAATCCGAAGGACATGTCGACTATTTAATGCGTCAGCGCTGCTGCTCCAGCAATCCGTGATGGTGTCAATCACTGTCTGATGGCATAATACATGATCAATATGTGAAAACGTCGACGACGTAATATTGTTGTCCATTGGGTTGACTCCCAAGTTCCGGCACGTGACTTTCATCGAATCGGGGTGGTCGAAGAATGTGTTCGCGATGGCGAGGTCGTAAGCCACGCAAGTTTCCAAAAGCAATTGCCGGTTAGATAGCTGCGCATTGGCATTCCCATTGTGTCGTTCATCGTGATTGGGGTTCCCATGGAGGTTTTTGAACACATGAGGCCCGATCATATTCTCCTCTCCCGGCCCCCGCCGCAGAAGTTGCGCGTTGAAGTCCCCGAAGACCATGGTCGTACTGTGCGCGGTCGTCGCCCGAATAAGGTCTTGTAGTTCGTAATGGAAGGCCTGGCGTTTCTCATAATCCAGGCCGCTTTGAGGAGCATATGCAGCGATCAACGTCAGCACCCCGCCTTTCACCTTTATTCGAAGTGTGGCCAACCTGTCTGGACAGGCCTTGAAGGCGACAATGGACTTCAGGATTTTGGGGCTCACCAGGAAGCCGACGCCTGTATATGTGCTAGTTTCCACATCCAAGCTGCCAGATAGGAAGATCTTGAAATCGTTTTTCATGTAGTACTCCGCCCCGTGCAAGTGCGTCTCCTGAATGCACAAAGCATCTATGCCGCGATCGCCCATGCACTGCATCAGCTCGTCGAGCTTGATGATTGAGTCACCCCGGAAGCCTTCAACATTCCAGGTGCCGATGCGATTGATGTGACACGGAATGCACAACCGCCTCTGCGTGTTCCATCCGGGAGGGTTTTGAGGAGAATAAAAAGTAGAAGGCGTAGGACCACCAACGGGAATTGAACTTGGATTGCTGGCGGAAGTCGTATCGTTGCGGGCTTCTGGACAAGATCTTCGACGAGAAGGGCATGAAGAAGAGGATTGGCGTGGTAAACCTTGATGCCGTGTTTCAGGTATGGTATCTGTGCCCAATTCTGCAGCACGGTCTGCTTCTACGCCTGCGCAAAATTGACCAGTAGCGGTAGCTTTGCCCATTCCCAAATGCAACGAGGCAGTTGGTAGTGAAGAAGGTGATGTAGAAATCCCATATTCGCCTGTAGAAGAAAATATCAATGAAGAGCACTGGCCTAAATGAAGGCTTTCTCGAACGCGATCCTCAGCGCCTCGGGTCACAGAAAGAGGAGAACGAAGCACAGGAGGTGGAGAAGAAGGATCAGCATAAGAAGCAAAAACATGTACAGCTGGACCTGGTAGACGAGCAGGTGGAAGTAGAATGGCCCCAGAGAAAGGGGAAGATGAATGTGAAACTTTCGCTGCTGGCTGAACGGAGTAGCTTTGCCCAAACTCGTATTCACGGCAGCGTCGTTTTTTCGAGGTCCATTGTTGTCGTCGAAATCGGCACCGGCACTGGACGGACAGGTCCGTGAAGCGATAAGCGTGACCAGTGCCTGCCGCACGCCCTAATGGGGCGCTGATCCTTCAGAGTTTCCTTTTGCTCCGCCCTTCATCCCCTGAACTGCTCTATGAAGGATCCCATCGCACCTCGACGTCAGCTCGGCGAGTGTTCCGTGGATCTGCAAATCGCCCCAGGACAACCAATCTTTTTCCCATACTTGTTCAATTGACATGTCCTGCACATTCACCGTTGAGGCCAATAACCCACCAGCATGTACTGTGTATGGTGCTTCTTCGGATACTCTGATCGTGTATGGGTTCTGCAATTCGTTTTTGAGTAAATACTCAACCCCAAAGCAGTAGCTCCGAGCTGCACGGTCGGCTGGCTCCCTGTCCTGCGTTGCCCAAATGCTCGTCCCCACGCTTGAGGCCACTACCGCGTAGCAGGGCGACCCCCGTATCCCGGTCGAGCATGCCGTCAAACTTCGCGAACAAGATGCCACGAAACTCTCCTTTAGCGTGCAAATTTGTGGGGATGGGTCCTTGCAGTGAGGACAGTTGCTCTCGGATGTATGTGCATGCCGATCCGATGGAGTCAAAGTTGTCGAGGTTGCCAATGACCGCCGTTGAAGCACGTTTGCCTTGATAGTGGTAGGCATTCGCTGTACCTGCGGAGGTGTACGATTTTCCAGGGGCCTGAAACGATGCAAAACCTCCCGTGGTGCAAAACAATGCGGCGCCGGGATCTCAGGGCCGAGGGATCCGAGAGGAGGGGGGGGGGACAAGATGGGTGCGCTCGCGCCATATCTGACATCCTACCCCATCCCGCCCATCCCTGCCCATTCCGCTGCGTTTTGTCTATATCCGTCTGCACGAGCCATAGCCGACCTCGAACTCCAGAGAGGGCCCCATCGTGCGATGCGCAGTCCGAGAAAAGGAAGCTGCGTACAGTGGAGGCCAGTCCACAAGAAACTTACACAAGAAACCCAACCCTGAGACCCCAGGACGTCCATCGTTTTTTGGTGTGGAAACGTCGCGCTTTCCACCGCAAAACTATACCCTGGAGGCGAGCAGGGTGTTCTTGGCATGGGTCCCCAATGCATATTGGACGAGGAGGTGGCGAATGAGCAGGAGGAACAGGCAGGATGTGGAAGGAGGAGGACGAGGACGACCAGCCGCAGCAGGAGCCAGAGAGGCAGGCGAGAAGGAGAGAGGAGGGGGAGAGTGAGGGCAGGGGAGCCACGAGCGCGGCGACGGCGACGGCGACGGCGGCGACGGCGGAGGCGGCGACGACGGCGGCGACGGCGACGACGGCGGCGGCGACGACGACGACGGCCTCGCCGATGAGCGCCCGCAGGCGCTTCAGCATCGCCTGCGCCTCGTCGCGCCGCTCGTGGGCCTGCCTCCTCAGCTCGTCGTCCTCTGGAGATGGCGGGCGGAAGGGGGGGAGGAATGACGAGGAGGAGGAGGAGGAGAGAGGAGGAAGAGAGGAGGAGGAGGAAAGAGGAGGAGGAGGAAAGAGGAGGAGGAGGAAAGAGGAGGAGGAAGGAGGAGGAGGAGGAAAGAGAAGGAGGAAGAGAAGGAGGAGGAAGAAAGAGGAGGAGGAAAGAAGAGGAGGGGAAGGCGGAAAGAGGAAGAGAAGGAAAGAGGAGGAGGAAAGAGGAGGAGGAGGTGGAGGAGGAGGAAAGCGGAGGAGGAGGAGGAGGAGGAGGAGGAGGAGGAGGGGAAGGAGAAGGAGGAGGGGGAGGTGCAGGATGAAGAGGGGGAGGTCGCAGGCCTAGAGTTTGACACAAACACCAAGATCGGCGGTGTGCCTCCACCAAGTGGAAGACGATCCCGATCTCGGTGATGGTGGTAATATTATGGCTTCCAAGGTGACCGAAAGATTACCACCAACACCGAAATCTAGGATCTTCCCCCTGTGGAGGCAACCCCCTGCGTTGGTGCTGGTGCCAATTTCCAGGCCTCCAAGGAGGGGGCGGGGGGAGGAAGGCGACGAGGCAAGGGAAGAGGGTGAGGCTGGCGTCGCAAAGATAGCGTGGAGCAGCGATCTCCGAAGCGCAGCCTTATCTCCAAAAAGGAAGGCTTCCTCGGTGCAGGTGCGCTCTCCCTGTGAGGCGATCCCCCTGCGAGGGATCCGCTTGTGCAATCTAATCCCAACGTGGGGGAAAGCAGCGTGTAATGAGTGGGCCGGTGGCTCCACATCGCACGCCATTCTCGCAACCCGTAGCGGGAAAGAGGCTAGGCTATCGCAGGAAGGTGAGCATAGAAGGAAGAATAGAAGGATGGAGGCGGGGGCTAGGGTGGAAGGAGGGGGAGGGGAGGAAAAAAGGAGAAACCCTCCCTCCTCCTTCGTCCTCCTCTGCCGCTTTAGGGGGAAGGCCGGGGGTAAGAATGACAGAGAAAAGGGAAGGGCGGAAACATGTCTAGAGTGGGCCAGGGGTCGCCATCGCCGCTCTCCCCCCTTTCCCTGGGCCCTCCCCAAGCGACCCAGCCACGCGAAAATAAAACAGCGTCGTACTCGGCTCATGGGCAAGCCTCCCTGCCCTTTGACTCCTTCCGCGCGCCAGGGGGGCGCGGGGTTACCCGGGAAGGCGCACCCGTCCCCCGCAACCCCCTACGGGGCAAGGGGGGGGTCCTGGGGGGTCGTCGCCGCCGCCCTCTCCGACCAAGACGGCCCCAGGGAACCCCTGAGAGCGGCAAGAGGGGGAACACCAATCAAGTCGAAGGTAAGGCCGCTCATCCCTTCCCCGCGGGGGGGGGGGTCGTCCGAGGAGGAGATCGATGGTGATGCGGTCCCGGGGGGGGGGCGTCGGGGGGGGGGTCCCGAGGCCAACAGGGCCTACAAGGGCCCCCCCGCATGCTCGCGAGAGTCGTCGTCGTCGCCGTCGTCGGCTTGTCGTCCCCCTTCAAGGTGGGCGGCGCCGGCCGCAAGGCCTTCGCAATACAAGGGGCAACAGAGAGCACGAACGAAGGAGGACGAAGAGAAGGGGGACAGGGGTCGGAGGGTCGAGAAAAAAGGATAATGATGGACGGGGGGGAGGGCTAGCTTGGGAAGGATAATCATGGACAGGGGGGAGAAGTGCTGCAATACGCAGTACATCACCTCCTCCGTCCTCTCGTTGCCTCCTAGGTACCCCGTTGCGCCTTCGTTGGTTTTCCTTTTCCATGCCACCATTTCAGCAATTCCTGCCGCCGTCCACCGCACCCTCCCCTTTTTCCCTCACCACAACTGTGTGAACGCGGTGGTCAACGTAGCCCGCGAATTGCAAACGGAAGTGGAACCCAACGTTTTCTGCTCGGTGCTGCGCAGCACAGAAGTGAACAGTTGGCAGCGTCATGGGAGGGTGACGGCTCATTTTTTCAGCTATGTGCAACGCGGGGCGACCCATGCCGAGGAGGATGAGGATGAGGATCAGGAAGAGGAGCAGGAGGAGGACGAGGAGGAGGATTTTAGCGGGGCGATCGCAGATCATAGCTGGGGGAAACGTCGTCAGCTGCAGTGCCTGCCCCCGCCACGTGTGGCTCCGTCTCCGTCGTGCTGTCGCCGCCCCGCTCGTCTCCCCCCGGGACGCCCACCGAGCGAAACCTTGACTATCACAGGCAGCGCCTACTTTGACGAGCCAGCTCGGGCGACCAGCGCAGACGCAAGCGCTCATAGGCGTCGCCCGACTCAGTCGGGCACCTTGGGGAGCTGCGCTATGCGCCGCGCCGCCAGCGCGCCGCGAATTCGGACACGCCGCCACCGGCGCAGCGCACGTCATGCAGCAGGAGCAGAGCCAGCGCACGGGGCGCCCACGTGGCGCCCACCGGGCGGAGCCTCGACAGACCCAGCGCAGCGCGCGATGGAAGGCCACGAGGCGGCTGCGGCCGCCCACCAGGGGGAGACCTCGGCCCTCGATCCTTGCATACTGCGCAACGAAAGCACGTGCACTGACACCCTCCTTGCGCATGTACGTACCTCCAGGGTTGTGTTGTCCCCCTCGCACTCCAGGGCCACCTCCAAGAAAACAAAAATCGGGCCCCCCGGAACGGTATCGAAACAGTGTCTGCCCGACACGCTGGCGATGTGCCGATTGAGTATCACCCTCCAGGGCCCGACACGTGAAAGCAGTCCAGTGTCGATGCTTTCGTGGTGCTCGAAACTCTTGATGATGGTCAAGGCTGAAGTAGCTCTTGCCTCAGCGCGGGGCCACACCTGGATGCGACTCACTCCAAGTCGCTGCCGTCCCCCTCCTGGCCCCTTCTCCTCCTCCTTCCCCGGCGCCTGCCCTTCCTTCTCCCCCTCCTGCTGCTGCTGCTGCTGCTCCCCTTTCTTCGCCAGCACCCTGCTCTTCCTCCTGCTCATCCGCCAGCTCCTCCTTCTTGTGCATGCCGTATCGTTCCCATCGTCGGCGACGCTCGGTCGATACTGCACCGAGGGCACTTTGGCCCCACGAGCCCCTAGGGGGCGACACGCGTAGCCTCCTTTCCTTGTCGCTGGAGGCTCGATCCAGATCAAGTGGCACGCACGCCCTGGCTCTTCCACGAGGGAGGGGAGGGCGAGGGCCAGGCGAGGCGGTGTGAGGAGGGGGGGAGGTTCTCAGGGGCACCCTGGAGCTCTCCCTCGGCCACCACGACCATCGTGAGGGGGCAGGGGCAGGGGAACCCGGATGGGGGGGGGCCAGCGAACGAACGAACGACGAGGCAAATTATACGGCTTACAGCTCCAGAACACTGCGATGCAAGAGAATACAGGCGGACTTGGCCAGAATTGCCTCCTTCGAGAACATGAGACCCTCCGTCGGCCAATACCCCAGGATGCACGAAAACATCCCACAGACAAGACGAGCAGTAGTAAAAGAAAAACAACTACACACACATAAACTGTTGGCGCTCCGCGGGGATTTCGCTGATCTGCGCTGGACACCCTCTCTGGCGCGCGGAACGCGGCGACGGGGGGCCCAAGCGCGGATACAAGAGACATCCGCGCGGAGCGCCAAAGTTTATGTATATGGCGCCTGTTCTTCTCCAACGAACATCCAGCAGACGCGAAGAGCAAAAGGCACCCTCCCCGAACCGACCTCGACCTTACGCCTCGGTCTGACTGGAAGTGCTCCCGCAGCCCCCCAGCCCACCGCCCCCCACGGCGGCGGCCGCGCCCCTCCTTGATGCGGGCGTTCTGCTCGTGGAGGTTGATCTGGTC